CCACTATTCAAAGTAATCACGGTGAGTTCATTTGAAAGGAACTGGCATCCGAACAACCAATTAAAATTGACTAATCTAACACTGACTTTCAAATTTTAATGGCGGATGAACCAAATTCATCTAGTTCTTAATTTAAATATAATATGTGCTCCTGAATCAAACACATGGCAGTTTTTAAACAAAGCGAAATCTTGCTTCTTGCATTTCAAGGACAACAAAGTTGTGTACTGTAACAGTTATAATGGTGCAGTCCAGATGCGGAGCAATTGAGTGATGTAAGAAATTTTACTGCAAATGCTTTTCCTTAGGCCATCTTCTTTTTTCTCTGACGGACAAAAATGTCCACGAGGTTCCATATTAAAGAAAACCTGGATAGGTGAATTAGAATCTCTAATATAGATGGAAAATGCACATCTAGGCAGACTCGTCAAATCGGTGTAAATCATAGGCTTAGATTATTATTACCTGGTTCCTCCTTTCCAAAACATTTTGACTAAACCAAAAAAATCAATAATTAATTTTTAAAATTGATCAAAACTAACTGTTTGGTCTGTTGGCACAAAGTAGTAAAAGAATTTAGCGTCGTTTAGTTGAATTAGGTTCAAAATGTTTCCTATAGTTAAGATTTAAATTGAGATTAAATTACATTAAAGTTCAAAAGCGTCAACATCTAAATAAGTTAGAAGAACCCGATACACAATGACGTATAAATAACGCAAAACGCGATCACCCGGAGGAAGGCTTCGAGACATATATAGTGCGTGGCAACAATGTATGTGTTTTGGTTAAAAGTTAACTTGCAGACGGACGTCTAGACGCACCACATACTGTCACGAAACAATCAAAGCAGTGAAATTAATCAAAGGTAGAAATTTAGTCCCTAGGGACTTAGGAAAAAGGACATGCCTGGGGAATGTATCTAGTGGGTATCGACTAGCAAAGAATGCGTCGTACTTTAATTAAATCTCCATTAGTAACCTTCACGCAGTGGACCTTATTTGATCTGGATCAATTAATTCTAACCAGAAATCAAAAACCGTTCCTGGGAGGAGTGATCATTATCCGCAGTAAACCTGCTTGATGTCTGCGAACACATCGACTACGCCCCTAGAGGATGACCTGGAGTCCACAAACAAGCAGCACACTTGCAAGTCCATCTACACGTGGGTGCGCGTATTTTTGCCAGTAAGATCATCAATCAAATGACTAATCGGAATTAAGGGAAATGTCGCCTCCGTGTTGACGCTTTTGGCTTTCAGCTAACAGGACCCAACACAGGGTGGGAAAAGGTAAAGACTATCGACAGTTTAGCCCTTCACTTCAATTCCACCGGAAATAAGACGTAGGCCGTAGGCTCACTTATTCCGTTTCTGCGAATTAATATTTCTCTTATTAACAGCAACCGAGTTTAACAACGCTGCTTGCGTTTGACTAATTCGTATTGAGGTCTTAATTATTGGGCACTGGTCAGCCATTGTTGGCACACGATTTCAGCTTGACTCTAGTAGCAGTCCACTCACAATTAATTTGAATTTTGATTTGGCACGTTGTCAGGAATGTCTGTGTGTAAAATTGGTTATAATCGGCACTTTTCCGGTTACAAGGCAAGTTACAGTGAATTAATAGCTGTGTAACCTCGGTTACCTGGAGTTAAATTGAATATTTCATCTGCTAATCGCAAGAAAGCTATGTTTAATTTTAGCATTCCGGCTAACAGATATTTACTGCCTTAATTGTAGTTGACAGGGTCGGTGTTACTACTCGAACATTCACTAATTACGCAAATTAAATTTAGACTCGAGAACTAGCCGCAAAGCATTACAGACATCACGAAAACCTTCATTAGGGTTTTATCGCGAAATGTTAACTTTAATTTCCAAGTAAGTCGAGAAAAAAACTGTTGGGGATCCACGATTCCCCAAGATTGGTTTCTGATTCTATTTACATTAATTTATTAACATTTGTTTTGTTACGCTTTTATCAAGTCAAGGTCAACCTTGAGATAGCTTTCACTTTGCTTTCGATTTCACTTCTTCTCTGCACATGGCTCACGTGAATAAAGCTCTCTACTCGAGCTCTGGTCTTGTTTTTGCATTAGCCTGGGAAGGTCGGTTCTAGCTTCAGCAAGGGATCTGGTACCATTATTGGAGTGGTCTTCTTTATAGTTACGGGCAAACGTAACACATATTTATCGCAGACATCGTCGTGCATTGGTGACACATCCGTTTCTCAAAACAGTTGCTGATTTTTAAAGGGGCTGATTAGCAAAATGAAGTGAATTGACACATTTAATAGATTTAACCAGGCTGATGAATGATCAATTAGCCTTTATCTGCTTGTCTATGCAGACGGGCACTAGTGAGGAAAATTATTATCAGCCAGCGGTCGCAAAGTACAAGAATTATGAGTGGAATCAGTGTGCAAAATCCACCCGTAAAATATAAATCTCTTGGCTCCTAAAATTCGATAATTGGCGACAAAGTTCAATTCATGGGCTATCAATTGTAAGTTACAATTTCAGCGTCGGCATTTCATGTAGGAGTTGACCTTTGCCATTTTAGCACATCTTTCAATTTATGGGAAGGTTATTTTCTCGACCGGTGACCAAAAGCGCATGCTTGAGGAATAAGCATTTTGCACACCCACTGTCTAACGCTAATCCTGACGGAAGAACCATCGAGGGGCCAATGTATTGGATGATTTGACGGCAATTCATTAAAATATGAAGATAGACCCCAGTCGATTTGAATTTGAAAGTGATCTGAATGACCACAAAGTTGAAAAAGGAACCAAGTACTTTAATTATAGTAAGTTGAGGTATTTCGGGGCAGCATTTGCTATTTTATTTGAGGCTTGATCAACTCATTTTCTTATTAGTGGGATCTAAAATCCGAATTGATCATGATCATTTGCAACCATCCAAAACACATTTCGATAAAGTGACCTGTTTTACTTATTGCGATTTGAAAGCGAAGTCGTTCGTCTTCACCAGTTTACATGGGTTATGCTAACTGAATCTACCACTTGATCTACCAACTGTATAATCAGCAAAATCTTGGACAAGATGGCAGCCGAGTGATTACCTGTCATTCGATTGCTAGTGGGAAGTCGGAAATCGTGGAATTTCCTGCTTAAAATAGCGAGGCGGCCTTGATGTGTTGCAATTTAAAGGTCATGCCTAAATTCCTGTTTAATTTGCTTTTCCAGAATCTACATAGTGCGATTTAAAGTAAAAGTGCACCTGATATTGAAAAAAAGCTCTCACTTTCATAAATCCATCAGAGGCACACAGAAATTTCAGCAAATAGGGCATGAAATAACAGAAATTCAGGGATTTTTCAATGAGACCTTTACACGAGGAGGCAGTTCATTGCTAGTACACTTTGGGCCAAGGACTAAGCCCATGCCTTATTCAACTGGGTACTTTTCCGACGTCTTGCTGATCCATGAAACTTTTTGCGTGTTTGGAAAACTGATGAAATTGTAAGCAATGTTTCGTCATTGTTGCAGTAACTTTGGTTGTTCTGTGATTTTAGCCACATTAAGAAAGCGGACACAAGTATTTGTCAACAAAGACAGCACATTTTTGTTTAAAAGGGGAATCACCCAAAAAACGCCCGAACTTTACTCACGGGCGTGAAGTTTGGAACTGAATTGCTCATTCATAACTGAATAGGAATCCAGACGGGATCTAACGTTTGCAAGCGCATTACTGGCCAATCCAGTGAATTGAGCTCAAAACACGGCTACTCTTACCCAGCCAATGAGAAGAGAGGAAGCTTGCTCCAGTAGCTCACACCTAGCTCAACTTGTAGCTCAAAATAGCTTAACATGAACCAGAAAATTACGCCCACATGCGAAAAATTTTCTTCCCCCTGCTGAATGACGCATTCAACGCCCACATGTTCATAGCAAACAGTAACGACAGCGTAATTTATCGCCGATGGGACAAACAAATTGCGAGACCAACAACATATTATTCGCCACAACACCAGGATACATAGTTTGGATTCAATTATGGCAATTAGGGTTCACTAAGAGAATAAATAGAAGGGGCACAAGAGACGTTTCCCAGAATCAAACCGAAGTATCGCGACCCTCCTTCCTGCAGACGCGTAGCCAAAGGCGCTAACCGTGTGCCACAGCATTTAGTTGACACACAGAAGCCAGTGTAAATGGGTGACTGCGTTTTTGATCACCTTCCTGTCCTAACTGCCCCTCAACATTAATGCTAATTCATTAAAAAAAAGCGGTGAAAGCGACATTAATTACACGAATTAGTGTCAGGTGTTAGAGCCTTCCGCTTTGATGTGGACTATGTCCAATTTTTGTGTATTAATAACTTTAAATTCGGCGTTAATTGTGTGCCATATCAAGTGACTAGACTGAACAAGAGTTAGTCGGCTGATTTATACCTAGCTTTATGGCTTTAGACACCTAGATGTAACTGGAAGGCATAAAACAAGAGCTCATACGAAAATGCCTCATCCACGAACCAGACCTCCGGGAGAGCCTATCGACAAGTTTTGTTTACGTAGATCACAGACTCCCATCGCTGACGCAACGCTATCACGAAAAACTGGCAGCAGATGCAAGTGCGCACCGATTTTGCATTTATTTACTACGTTTTAATTCGTTTTTGTCAAATCTGAACAAATTGGGGACACACGCCGATGAAGACAGCCCGAAAAGGCGCATATCGTCTTCCTGTAGCTGAATTAGATTAATTCCTCTACGATATTCCACTCATGATCGACGGTGCAAGAAAAATAAAACGAGTGCTCGCTTGCCAAATACACGCACTTTTTGGCCACCTAATCAGTTACTTGTTTTAGCAATGTGCCCCAAATATGAATACGCTTTTTTTTGTACAGAATTCCCTCATAATCGGCAAGCAGCTTAAGCACGTGATTTAGGCATTTGGCATTCCGTTTGATAAGACCACCTGTTGGAGAGAAGGAATAAAGCAAGTGGAGACGCATTGTCCGATTTAAAATCGCTCACACGCATGCTACGGGTTCAAGCAGTCGCAGAAAGGTATTGTTTGAGAGGAAGGACGAAAAGAATATCTCGTTCTGGCGTAGAAACAGCTTGAACTCGAAAGCGCCCAGGGATTCGGCCATAGAGAAGTGACTGTCATCTCCTAAATGGAAAGAAAAGGAGCTTTGGGGGTCTGGTTTAAATGTACAAATTCAACACAGGTCTCGTCAAGGCTTACACTTGTGCGAAATAAGTAACAGAAGCAATGAACAGAGGTTCGGCGGTACCAGGGAAAATTGTGGATGGACAGCCCACTTGCACTGCACGGAGCAAGTGTCTCCACAGACAGCCCCTTCCGGACAGCCTCACATCGTTCAAAGAAAGTACTTACGATAGACCTAGGTTTTAAAAATGCATCACCTAAACCAGGCCTTAACAACTACACTTAATAACTCATAAATGCGTTGAATTCAAGCACAATTCGGTTTTTTTTTCAAAGCGAAAGATTGTAGAAGTTTCATAAACACAAATCTGGCATTTTTGAGCTAAGAAAAGACAACGAAGGGATCTCCAACTTGGATTTCGCACAAAATACGCATGATCTGCAAATTGGAGAAAATAAGATCAGGGAATTACGAGGTCAGAGTTCACGCTAGCACTGCGTGTTCGTTAAAATATAAGCCACAAAAGGCGATACTGATTTTTTTTTAAACAAAGGCATTAATTACATTATTGTCAAGGTAAATAGCAATCAAATTTCGAGTCTCTGTTAAGCAGAAGTGAAGATTCGTGATGACCATTATTTATTTCAGTTCTATACACAAATGAATCGCGGCAAATAAGGCAGAGAGAAATTTCAAAGTGCCAACCTTAACGAGTAATGCAAATTATTGGAATTTAAAAATAAGAGTATTACCATGTCCCTTTTCAACTAATAACCGGAAAGAGATGGCCGGTGTGTACAGTGTGTGTGGGCGTTAGTGGACAATTATCGAATTAGATAAACACGCAAAATTGTCCACTGCTGCAGAACTTTAACCGATAAACTAACAAAACTAACTCATACAAGATTGGTTGGAAAGGGGGAAAAATGCAATTTCCCCGTGAATTTAAACGTCGCAAAGAGACACAGAACTAAAAGAAATGGAATCCCTAAACAAGGAAGGAAAAATTAAAGGCAAATATTTGACTTTAATGCGCGACACGCACAAACGTAGTCAGTGTATTATTTACAATGTGGTCGTGATGTACTTAGAGTAGACATGCCGACTACTTACGTGGCAGAACGCACAAAACGCTACTTCTGCGGGACTTGTGGTGAGTTAAATTTAAACGCAATTTGCAGCCGTTTTGAGGACGCTGCTTCATTTTTAAAATGACCATTTCCCGACAGCACATTTAACACAATTTGGTACTCGATGCTTGCAAATTAGTCGTCACGAGGACGCATAGGAAAGTAGACAAAATCTCCACTGTTTAATATCAAGGGAAGCTTAAATACGGCACCTGCCACTGATCTATAGTTAACTATATAAGACTTCTTGATACCTCATTTGTGCATGGACAAAAATAATTCATTCACTAACAGTAGAAACAGATCGATATATCAAAAGAGAAATAGCAGAACGATTGGAATAGCGCTAAAGAAAGTAATTATGAATAATAAATTACCGTTATTCAAGGCATAAGTCATTGTAGCCTAAAAGTGAGCGTTACAACTAAAATCCAGCGCACTGATTGGGCAATTTTAAAAATCGAAAAGCGCGCTACAAAGACCAAAAAACCTTTCCGCATAACCATCGTGTTTTAACGCGCACTCTGATGTGAGGCATGTACAATATACACTATAAGTAAATGTCTTTTAGTATGAAGCAAGGTGTATAATGTGGAATGTGGAAGGAAGAACTTCTTGGACAATAAAATGGAAAAAAAGCGCGCTCTCACAAGCTATGGTGACCTACTGAGCAAAGAAGAATTTACACAATTTATCCCAAGAGGCAGCAGTTCAACAGAGATCATGGCAAGCAATATGCAGCGTCCTAGGTTGACCCCTCGGCGTTTCTTGGAACAAATAAGATGGAAGTGAACCACAGAATCTTGAACACCACAGCACCACATTCAGTGATCTTCAAAACACTGCAATCTGTGTTCCTACATCACCATTGGATCTGCCTTAATTTAACCAACACAAAATAGTTGTCGAAGTTAGTGTTACATCTTCCCCGGAAACACTATTGCCTACAGCGAACGAAAAAGGAATATGATAATGGTATGAATATGGTGATATATGATGAATATGATAATAAAGTTACTCATATACAGACGTTGTTGAATGTGCATGCATACCTTCAGAAGTGAAAACACAGGCCTGTGCGAGGGCATGCGGAAGAGGTTGCGAGGAGAGAGGTGATTGGCCACGCCAGAGGTCACGTGTCAGAGCACAGCTCACGAGAACGTGGCAATCGACTCCGTGGTCCTGTGCCGACGCTGCATTTCGGAGGTGCGCGAGGGCGTCAGTGAGTAGACAGGTCAGGGAATACAAACTACTCGCGAAGTTGCCGGGCTGAACGGGGAAACAGAGAGAAGGATCAGTGGAAATAGCCAATAAGAGTGCAAGAAATAGCGAGGATTACTTGTGTACCACGGAATTATAATAACAAAGACATACATTCTCGCCGTTACTTCTAACTTGATAAACCACTTAGTCGACAATCTGCTGCGTTGTAGGCACTATAAAATTGACAATCCAAGTTTACATATGCGGAGCAATTACCCTCTGTGGTACACTGGGGTTTGATTCGCCTTCGTGTCGACATCTCTAATGTAGCTTGTAGTTTGGATAACACCAGGTGATTGAGAGAGTTAGCGTGATTAGTCAAATTAAAGACCAGGAAAGAAAACATGCAACGCAGGGACACACGTCAGCATTAATTATGCGATCCAGTTGTTCAATAACAATCAGATCGGGAAGTTGTCTGCATTGGTGAAAATGACAGAAGTAGCGCACGAGGGAATCTGCACTGGGGTACCTACGGAAAGAGAAAAGTTGAAATTACGCCTACTTATATTGAATGAGTACGAAGGTGATGCAACTTACATAAATCGGATGCAGTCCCAAGAGGAGAAGTCGAGTGCCGGCGTGCCGTGAATGTGCAATTGGCTTAGATTGACAAGCTCACACGGACGAAAGTAGAATACCGAGAGGTCTTCGAGAGCAGCTCGATTGGCAGCGTTAAGCAGCAATTCGGAGACAACGTTTCGCGTGCTGCTACATTACAAACAGTGAATACTAGGGACGGCAAAAGAAACTCACGCGCCGGAGTCGCCGCCAGTGCACAAGAGAAGCGTTGATTCACGACATACTTTTTGTGGATCGACATCTAACGACCCTAACACCGACTGCGGCAAAAGCCAATTCATGTCTGCAAGTACACGAACGACAATTTCAATGCAGAGGTATGAGATAATTTGGGACAATTATGGATCACACCTACGATGCCCCAAGCACCACGGCGTAGACAGAAGGCCTTAAAAATGTCCTCAATAATGCCCATGGGTGGGTTTACTAAACCAGCCTATTCAGAAAGCATGGGGTTTCGATTAAAGGGTCGGATGTTTCGACAGGGCGTGACAGAGAATGTCGCGGGAAGCAAAGGCAAAAATAGAGGAACAGTAATTGAAGGACTGAGTATTTACAATTTATTTCAATAAAAAAAAGAACAATGAAATAGAGCGAAAGTGTACAAATCAGAACATATCGACATCCTCGTTGTCGGAAATGATTGGCTCGTGGTGATAAACTGCGGCCGATTCATCGTCTGCGAGGAGTTCACCACCGGCGGGGACGAAGTCGTCGTCATCATCGTCGTCGTCCAAACCATCGTCGACGAGACCCACCTCATCGATAACCTCGTTCAGCACCTCGATTCCGGCTGCTGCCGCGGCATCTGCGAAACCGAAAACGGAGAAAGCGTTGCAAATGTGGCAAAAGAATGTCACAACACGACTAGATCTGGGGATATGAACGAATGCAGGCAACCTGAAGCACTCTGGAGAGGATAGAGACTTCCACCACGGTGCGTTTTTCGGTCCTCGTCGTCGTCGTCGTCGCTGTCGTCGCCCGAGTCCGAAAGCAGTAATTCCGCCGCCAGATCAGTCGTTTTTAGGCGCTGACCTGGTTCACCGGTCTACAAATTGAGCGACACCTTCAGGAAGCCGCGATCAACACAAAACAAAAACAAATCACCATAGAGCGTGACTGACTAACTTTAACGCCTACTTGGCAAAACATCAGTACAAACCAACCGAAGGAAGGTGGCAGCAGTCAAAATCTCATTGTAAATCGTGTTTATTCACACCCCCTAATCCGGTCGCTCCACCTCCGCCACAGGGTTCTCCTTTTCGCAGCATGTCGCCAGCCGCGCGAATCCTCAACTCCCTCTTCATTAGCACGAATATTTATCTTGGAATATTCCCACCCCTAGGTCTCGATGTTAGCGTGTGTATGACTCACATATTCGAGGTATAACCCCACAGACGACACAACGACACCAACGAGGTTAAGCTCTGAAGTAAACGGTTGCGTCCACGTCCTCTCCGGCCTTTTTCTTCATTGCGGATATCAGGGAAACGTAATCGGGCCAGGGTTAATTCCTTGGTCCCGGCACGGTTCAAGACCACATCCACATGCTGGGGCCCACAACAAGCTTGACCACAAGGCCAGGTACAAGTGCAATAGACAAAACTAGCCTGTGCAGCATCGTCGAAGGCGTCTGCAGCAAGACCGAGGTGATCGATTGGGCTCGAGGGCGACGGCGGAAGTGGATGGGCAGGCTGCTTTCCGGCGGTTTTCGCCGCCTCCTTCGACGGGGGCGCCTCGTCGAGGTCCGAGTTGGTCTGCGCCTCGCTGTCGCTTGCCTCGCTCTCGTCACTACTGCTGCTTATCACACCGAAGAGGTTGTCCACAACCAAGGATCTGTGATCTACGACAAAGCAAGTGTGCGGAATCTCAGGGAAGTCGGAACTGGTGATTTAATTACAGGCCCTTCCACGAAGTGCAACACGATGCAAGGCATGGTTTCAAGTGGAAATTTGGTGACACTGCAATTCTCAAGCTTTTAAATTGAGAGTTTCAATTTAACTAAAAGGCTTGCATTAACCAGGAGGCATCCAGACTACCTGCGCCGTTGTCGGATTCCTCGTCGTCGGAGTTGCTGAGCGGCAGGGTTCCAGAGGCGTTGTCCGTGGACGCCTTTCTGCCATCAAGCCCAGACGACGGCAGATTCTCCCTACCCGAGACCACGTCGCCGTCTCCACCTGCAACCGAGACCGCACCAGACGCCGACGATTCCGCGGGCTTCGGTGGGTCGCTCCAGATGATCTCCCACCTGAATTTAACAAAGATGAATAAAAAAACAGGAACATAAGTAATGAACTAGTGTAACCAATAATGGCAAAACTGTGCACGGATACCGTGAGGTGCTTTTTATCCTTTTTTAAGCGGTTGCTTGTAAACAACTGTGGTTGATAATGAATAGAGTAGAGAAGGGGAATGGACATGCTTGACTGAGAAGCAAACAGTGCTGTTCTTGAGTTTACTGAATTGCATTGCCGTAGTAACTTGCCGTCGTAACTCACGTTAGCCACGTAGATATGAGACCAAAAGCGCGGTTCCAGGAAAACTAGCCGACTAACTAGCAAAAAGGCACATTTCCTGTACTCACGTGACGGAGTCCGCTTCAAGATCGGCTCGTAGGAGATTTTTCACCTCCTTCTCGATCTGCGACATGTCCACGGAGCGCTTTTTACGAGTCTTCCGAAAGCGACGACGAAGGACATTTTTTAGCGGCGGCGTCATTCCGTGCAGGTACTGAAATTCACGATTATCGCGCCTACAACAAAAAGAATGGCTCACTAATTGGGAAGAGCATTCGTCAGGACTAAGTGAACGAGCATTGGTTAAATCGAACCTAGGAGAAATCGCTCACCGGTAGTCATAACTTCCAAAACTACAATCAGACAGGGTAAACAAACTGGTGGGAAAAGCGGTTGGCGAGATCTTAACTCCAAGGAAACCAGACGTTCAGCGCGGAGGGCTTCTCCAAAGTCCCCTTACTACTAAAAACGCCACGAAGTAATTTGGGTCTGCACTAGTAGTTGCCTTTTGATGCTCAGAGAATTTATCTAGCACAGAACGAATGCTAGTTGCTTCCACATACTTAGTTGCAACTATCACCTATCTCCAAGACAGACTTTCAAATTGGTAGTAAAAGAAATGATTATGGTGACAGGATAAGACAGATTGTTCGTACGAAGAACAAACACCATTTGTCTGAAAAGGCGGCAGTTCAACAGAGCAAATCACTGGGCAAATCAGACCTTCCAAGCTCACAGCATCGGCTTTTTTGAGTCATTTTGATGCAAGTTGATCGTGCACTTACGATGCGAAACAACGTTTAGTGGGCATTGATGCACCATGGCGGTGGTTGCGTTGGCATTTTGCATCGCACAGTGAACAATTGCTGTGGAATTCCACTACACCAACAACAGGTCCTTAAAGCGAATGGTCAGTTTCCGATAGGCGCAGAAACGGTGGTTATCCTAGCCACAATTAGGTACTTTTGTTTCGGATGTGAGTCATTGGTTAGTGTTATCAGAAGCCTATCATCCGTACACTCATTCACACTTGACTGGCGTGACGCTAATAAACGGCTGTGTCCTCTGTTCCACTCCACTTGAGTTATTACAGGCTGTTAACTAGAGGGTTGTAAGGTAGTACTAAACCACAAACTACCACAGTACGATAAAATCTTTCTATTGCCGGGTGCAGTTTGCTAACGAAATAGACGCGTCTCACCAAACGAGACGGGACTGCACCACAGATTGTACGTCACCTTGAAGTCAACATTATATCTTCAGAAAGCGATGATATGGCCATTGTCGAGTACCCCAAAACAACGCCAACGCGCTTGAATATCCATGTCTGTGGGGCCAACAAAAGTAATTAGCGGTAGTTTTACCGTGTTATATCAACTGATGCACGGCAATTTCAGTCAAACGTTTGCAAATAACTTAGACAGTGTCAGTAAATTGAAGTATGATTTGTATTCATAAACAACCATTGTGAGAAAACACTGCTTTCCAGTTACATGCGAGCACCAACAATGCATCGGCATTAATGCAGCGCATTTAAACACGATCCTGCATGGGTGGACCCAAATATTTTGCAAGACACAGTCATATAAGAACCACACAAGGTGGTCCGATTTCAGCATTCAAATGAGTATAAAAGGCACTACACAAGATATTTCAAAACACGTAGTCAGCTTACCCATAGACACTAGTTGGCTGAGGACGATTGTGAGAGGACTTTGCGGCAAGAAAGGCTGCCGAGCCACGGATAGGCGCGGTACCGTCATCGTCGGCATCCTGCGTGCAAATCATCATCTGCGAGATGTCCGCAGTCTTGTAGAAGGTCTTCCGATCCGTTGTCTTCAGCGACTCGATGATACACGGCAGGTCCATCATTCGACCATGGTACACCTGCCCATTGTAGCGCACTATGCTGTGGCGCATGTCCGGCTTCATCTCGATCGTGAAGTTATCCTCGAAGTGAAAGGCAAAATTAGCGAACAAGAACGTCGTTCCAACTACAGAACGCAGATGGCATCAAATTATTTGGCGAGAAGGCAACTCTAAACAAAACTGGAATAGTTTAAGGGAAAAAGGTGGACTAATTACTTGATAATCATTCGCAAGTAAAAAATAACATTTTAAGATGTGTCAAGCGTACTTTAAAGGGGATACCGAGGTCAATGTCTTCCGCAAGGTACCGAGCAGCCTCCTCAGGCATGCGAAGAAGAAACTGCTGCTCGAGGTCCATGGCGGTGTCCTGAGTGGACTTTGTATGACTCATTTTCCTCAATCTGTACACCCAAAAACCGCAAAATCAATATCACTTGAAGTAGGACAATCGCTTTTTGCGATCGAATAGAAGTAACACGGGTACAATAAAACTGTATTGAAAAAAAATTCATACAACAAATATACAATCACATCTTATAAGATTCTGGCCACGGAGGGATAAAAGAATCGGCGACATTCCACCAAAAATTCATTGATATGCTAGTGGTTAGAGATCTGATGTAGTGCCATGCACGAGGCGGAATAAAGAGCATTTCGCCCTTTCTAAGCACACCATGATAGCCCCGGGCTTGAGCGAATTTGGGAAACTTGTTAAAATCCGGTGTTTGATTGGCAACATCAACTTGCGAGGTGTTTGATAACATTGAGTTCTCGGTATGTGGATAAACGAACTCCGTCTGGTCAGCGTTATACAACTTGACGTATTTTTGTCCAATAAGCTGACAAAGAACGTTAGCCCGATCGCTGTCGTGGTGCAGCGGGGAAACGGTGTTGGCGGGACCAACCCATATATTGCTATCGATAGCTGCCTCCTCTGAAGGCGATTCAGACAATCCAGCATAGCAGTATTCTGGAATATCCACATCAAGAGCAAGCTCAGGAATCTGTAGAAGAATCTGATGTTGAGCTAAGTAGCCGACAGGTTGGCTTTTCGAGGTGCGAAGGACAAAAGTCTCGAAGAACCGGTTCACAGTAATTAGGCGCTGACCCCATGACTCATCAGTATAGGCGGAACCGATTTCCACGGGAACTGTCCGGTAGCCAGCCGTTCTGGACCAGTACGCCGGTGACCAATAGTGATCAGAGGCTTCATCACAAGCCGGCCAATGTGACATTGCTCCGGTTATAATTACGGGTATTCCAGCGGCCAGTATATCAGTAAATTCCGTGAGAGAAGGCTGGTGAATGCGCTGCAATTCAGAGATTACCTCATCTGGAAAGGTTAAGGTCGTCAAATCTGGTGTTACAGCATTAACATCCGAATAGTGGGTGGGGAAGTCCATAGAGGGAAGGGAGTCGACAAGAAATGCATTCACTAAGCTGGCTAATTTAGTGATACATTCACACACATCGTCGGAATGACCCATAATTAGAGCGTCATCAAGTTGCCACAATATGTACTCCGCATCGTATTCCTCAGCAGCGGATGGAATCGAGAGACAAGAGAGAACGGATGCATAACGCAGAAGTGAATACGCCTCTCTCCAAAACTCTGGGACATCACGCCAGTAGCCAGTATTAAGCTTTTCTCGGACATACTCGGTTAGAGGGTAGAAATCAGGCTTATTTTCCTGCAGGGTCTCAAGACAAGCGCGAACAAAGACGTCATCTTCCTTTCCAATGAGACGTTCAAAGAATCCAATCAAGTAGCTAGGCGACCGGTTATTCTCACCAACATATTGGAGTAATTCTGCCATTTTTGCAAGGCTACACTAAAAAGTAACCAAATGTATTAACATTGCATTAACCATTCAATTAGAAAAACAAATCATTTGAAGGAAAAACGGATCCCTATAAATGCCGCTGGCTAGAACTAAGTCTACCCATATCAGCTTGATTGAAGGGTGACCTATAATTTTCACAAGGTTAAAAGAGAATTAATTAAAAAATAATCATGGAAAAGCAGGATCAATAACCAACAGAAATACCTTCATATTAAAACGATATCACGTTATTTATCTTCATTATACGACCTACATGTTTTACATAAACAACGTCACAAACGTATTACTTATGGGAAAAACTAACCGAAATCGGAATAAGGCAAGTCTGAATTTGCAAGGCACAACAATACCACTAACCGGTATCGTTGGTGACTACTACGCTCGTGCAAATAAAGGCGTGACAAAATGAATATGGTAAAAGTATTTAACACAAACAAACACTATTTATGGTAATAATATGCCTAGTTTGCGACCTAGCTCCAATTCATAGTAAACAAACTAAATGTTATACCATATCCAGGACGATATAATGTGTGTCTACACATGTCCATTACAAACACCAGACACGAGACTCAAATTAGCCAAACAAAACCACCAATCGAAACTCAGCGCTGGAATCAAATAAAATAAATCAAGGACCTTTTAAATTGAAGAGAGTCAGTCCAATTTAGACGCCTATTCGAATTCTACCATGGTTAATCCTTAGAACTTAAAACACTATTTAAATTTATAAACTAGGCTAGAAATATTGACAAATTGCCGTAAGTCTTTGATGAATCCATATGTGTGTATCTAAAATTTGCCTAACAAGGATACCTTAACAACACCTCTGGTGCAAATATATTAATTATTTTACTCTGCAATTATTTTTTAAGGCATTATGATTTAGCGTTTTTCCTTTTTACAAATCGTTGGATTTATGTGTTGTGAGTGTTTTGACTTCTCTAAGTTATCCGAAACAACAGTAACAAAAATAACAATGAACCGAGCTGCGTGCTCGGTTTTTGTATTTCATGTACAGACGGTAAATAGATTTTAGGTATTTCACAATGCTGCTTTTTTGTGCATTAAAACATCTGGGTCAGCATGTCTGCAACGATTAGTCTGCGTCCTGAACGGTTTTTTTATTCTAGGCACTAATATGAAGATAGTTTCCTGATTTCCTAATGATTAATTTTGTTATCAATTCATTTTTCTGATACAAAAAAGTTCATCTCATTAATTGTGTTTTAAGCATTAACGAAAAATAGTGTCTCCAAATTAAAGTTCATAGCAATGAAACGATCCTAGATACCTTTATTTTCCGGTTTTCGCTAAATTTTACCCCTTGAATCTGAATAGTTTTTATGCGCATAAAAGCTGTTGCCTACTAATATAGAATGCGTGAGCGTCCTGACTGTTAGTCTATGTGAAACGAAATTGACGCACTAACGCCCGCGCATTTCCGTTGGAAATAATTTAACCCTCGCCATTCAACCCACGCACGTCAGTCTGGCCTGTTATTTGTCCCTATCTTCCCTTCCGCAATCTCGCCTTTCTCAAGACGTGCCTGTGAGTCTGAGGGCAACGCCGACACTCCTCACGACTATTCCTATCTTTATCCAGCTCTAACTCTCCCTAAGCTCTGGCCCTCTGAATTTGTATGCGGTAGTCTGGAATACATCCGGTTCTTCCTGTTATTATTCTATCGTATATCTGATAGCTAGCACTGATAGTGTGGCTTTCTAAGAGATGCGGGCAAACAATTATCTACCGATTTAAGTCCCCGCTTGTTAGGCGTGTTACAATGGTGGCCTCCGAAAAAAGACAACTAAAACATTGTCTCTGATAATGTAAACAAGATTCTAATTCTAAGTACTCCTGGTTTATATTGTTGCAATACGTATATGATTGCTAATACCCTTCATCAATTAACAAAACGTACAAGTATAGAGACTAAAATAATTAACATACAAAAATCCTACTCAAATACAAAACGCGGAGAAATACCCAGACTGAGGGCACTTTCAGTACACTACAGAGAAAATCATCAGCTTAAGCGTTTCGAAAATTAAAGTGGATTTCAAGTAACTTAGGCAGCGATTCCTTGAATACAGTGTGAATGTTATCCAGACTTAAAAACTTTACCGGAAAAGAATAAGAAATAAAGTAGGACACTTTCTACTTATTTTATAATTAAAGAATATAGTATGAATGAGTTTGCAAATGGCAATCTCTAGCTGCAATAGTTAGGCCAGGTAGCAAAGACCATGATAAGTTACCGACTTTATCAATAATCTGTCATAATCTGTCTCTTGAAATATCGATATTATTTTGGCATTGATAAATCTGGGTCGATTGTGCAATCAGAACAAATACAAAAACAATTCATCATCAAGACTTAAAACCATTACCTAAAAAAAAAACATTTCAATTTTTTTGAATCTAGTTAAAAATAATCTCATTAATTAAGAAATCTTATTCATTGTTTGAAAATTATCCATATTTTAGTACGTATGCATCCCATTTTACTATGATAAGTGAGTGTAGGGTAATTTGAGATACAAGAAGAAGCCCATAATTAACCGAAAATGTGGCGGCATGATTCTACCAATTAACCAGCAGCCGAAAATTACATGAAGGACGATACCTTCGCACCTCTTTCCTACATTTATTACTTTTGCAAAAATGCAACAAATCAGCCCGCTTCCCATTTTGTGTGGATTTGCAGTTTTCCGTCATGTAAAATACGTCCTGCTTACCATGTACAAAAGCAGCAGTGAGGCACTACATAAAACGATGTCTCAATAATTTGTAATTTACCAACAAAATGTTAATGTTTTGTCCTTTTAGACTATCTACTTTTCGAACAGTGAGCCTTCTATGCCTTGTTTCCATGACAACTTAAAATAACAACAAAGTATATAGAAATGTGTTATGTATATTTATAGGCGTGTTTAAATCTAAGTAAGGTAAATCGTATCCTACAGGCAAGATGGCGACTCGTCAAAGCAATACCTAGCTAGCGGAGCGGACAAAGGCCGCGTCACGTAGCGAAGGGCAGCTTTTCTTTGGGATTGTAGAGACAGAAGGGCTTCTGTGCACGAAGCTCCTCGTAGTAGGAGCATCCGCTGTTCAAGTGGCGCGTCATCTGCGCGCCGATGGAGGCGGGCGTGGAGGTGAGGTGCCAGCTGTGGATTCGCTCGCCACAAGTTGGAAGCGTCCAGATGAAGTTTGTGATTCGCCAGCCGGCCAGGCCGGTGACCTGGCAACTGATGCGTCGCCAAATGGGTGCCACGATGCCGCGTGTTGGAAGCACGTCTTTGCAGGCCTCGGCCAGGCGTGGAGACACTTGCGACAAGCTCATCAAGCTGACCTTTGAAGTGAAGCATAAACCCGAAAATGCGTCTGCTTAATCAGTGAGCGAAGCACCAGTGATGTATTAGAGTAACTTTACATAATCGTGTCCGACCCACGACGATGTTGAGAAGCAAGATTATATTGTCTTTTTTTTCTAAAGCACCATTAGCTCTTAGTCTCAAAATAAAGACGGAACTAGAGTGTAGAGAGCATAACACGCATTTGATTGTGCTTCCTGTCTAATAATATTTTTATTTTTTATCTGTGTTTAACAAAAGGTTATATCAGTTTGAAAGCAATTTTTTTGTTATATAAGAAAATTGACATCAGTACATCATGAAAAGATTACGAGCTGAAAAAATAGAGTGAAAATTTGATGACTTTTGAAGCAAGAAGCAAGGGCCTGACATTTTTGATTTATGTCATTGGTTATCACTTGGAGGGAACGAATTAGATACTATAGGTTCGAATGCGGAGGCCACAATAGTTGACGACTTCTGACTTCTCAGATAAAGTCCATGAAACCATTGTCACTGGCAGTAAGCAGTGGTGCCATTAGCAAACTCTTTAAAAACGAACGGGTGGGCAAGAAAACAAAAGCCACTGCAAGAAGTTGATTAAAAGGTGGCGAGAATTCGAGAGCCTCCTTCACTATGATCAACAAATTGACAGAATGGTAGAGTGAAGCTTCACTTGATTGGAAAAACTGCAAAATTTTTTGGGTGAAATCGATTGTCTTCATGCCTTCAATTGGTATCAATCGGCAGACAACTAACTCTCACGGAATTGCCGTTAGTGTACAAATCAGTGAAAAGGGTCTTCATTTTAAGCTGACGGAGGGTTTGAAAAGAGAAAAAAAAACCAAAATCTCCACAATAATTGACCAGAAACTGAAGCTAATTAGACTGACAAAGTGGCTGCCTGATTTCCCGTGTATTCATTCAAGCAAACATGATTTTGTGCTGTTTCAAAAAAAGCTAACCCAGACCAGGAAATCTTGCAGCAGATGTCAGCACAGCTGCTTACGACACAGGTGGGCAGGATTTTGCATTCAGCAACTACGCTATTTATAGACAGATCACTGTTTTGATTGCGAGAGAAATAATATCAAAAGGCAGCAACGAGACGCCACATGAAAGTGCTTTCACTCAAATTAAAATATTCCAATTTTTATTGGTGCCCGTTCAGTTAAAACTGTTAGACTTTTGTAAATGCTTTGACTTCGCTTCCGATGAAAAACATAATTGAAATTTTGAAAACACTAGGGGTTTTAGACGTTACAAGTAGTTTTGTGGAGCTGGTAAAAAGATTGTTTTTTCTAATTCATATAATTTTAACAAAGACAAACCATTTTTACTTAGCGCACCATGCCATTTTTTGAATTAAGGGCAGATATAAATTAGGTGGCAAAATCAAAGGTCATTTAACGAAAAGCTGGCAAAGTACAAATTGATGCCTCTTTTTCAAAAATCTGTTAACAAGGTAACAAATAGGCACAAGGAATCATCCTGTCTGATTACGTTGCCATCTACATGCCAAAAATAAATTATTATAGTGCTCTGCTAGACCAATGCGTTGTCATTTTGTAGAAAATCATTTGGTCAAAAGTGCTGACGCAGTATTTGGGAGTAACTCCTTCTGTTTGCAAAACACGAAGCACTTAAAAATATTCACGAAACACGAAAGTTTGCAGAACAGATAACACACTAGCCCAATTCAAGCAGCCAATGGCTACACGAGGTTTGTAGAGAGAGGTAATTGATGGCCATGGTGTTGAAAGCAGAAGTAAATAATTCTGATGAAAGCTGCCGAAAAGCAATGCAGAAAAGGTCACTCCTGGTTTTTTTCGGTAAAAATGGAAGGCCAAGGAAGCAAAATGTGTTCCGTTTGGAAACCCATGCACCTATGAGTTAACGATAATTACTAACGGAGTGATCAAGACTTTGTGTGCAATTTGAATTGAAATCCACCTGTTGAGACAACAACGGCCCGAAAATAGCAGAGTTTGAAAAACGTCCTACCTCGTCAAGCATGTTAATAATCTTTTGGAGAAGTTCTCGTGGAAGCTGGTCGAGCCTGCTACAGCTGAAGTCTTCCGAATTGCTGTTATTGAGCCTGCGAACGGTCTGAGGATTGTGCTCGTCGGTGTAGCGGACGGTGAAGACGTTGACGGTGGGTATGTAGGCGAGGTAGGCGCTTTGCGTGTTGGGTCGAAGACGCACTACAGAGAAGGGGCAGCCGAGGTAGGCGAGGGGACAGCGCTGTTCCAGCCAGTAGTCGACCTGAACCAGCGCCTCAGAGTGCAACAGCGTGTGGTGCCCGTAGGCTCGCCTCGGGATGTCCTGGTCGCAGAGGAAAGTGTACATGGCTGGTGGCTTTTGGACGTAGCGCGGAAAAAACTCCATCTGACAGTCGACCTAAGCACACGGCAAAGCACTTTAAGGTGGACGACATTTCCGCAGTGAATTTGGAACGAGTCAGAGCACAATGCACACACCTGCAGGCTGCGATCGCTGATGGCCCAGGACATCTTCTCGGTTAGGGGACAGGAGGAAGACAGGCGCATTGGAGAGGGACTAGAGATTGTCGTTTCCGGGCCGTTTGACGCGTCAATGTCCACCGGAGTAGTTGGAGTCATGGAGGCAGATTGCAATGCGTGACTTTCGTCATCAGTGGCGTTGTTTACATCATCTGTTTCTAAATGTAAGTGGCATTGTTATTTTTAAAAGTCCTTAATTTACGCAAGGAGCAAATACATATATAATACGCGCGATATTAACATTTAAGTTTTTACGGAAAATTGATACAGTTTTATGGTTCAGCAAAGTTGACATCGGAATACTGCGATTGGGCACACTTGCAAAAGTAATTGGTTCCCAAAACTGATCCCATTTATAATCAACAAGGCCTATACATGTATAATTTTTCCATTTCAGATATCTTACCTTAAACGAAAACAGAATTTCAATATTAAACCTGACGACAATTAAACAACCTATGGTAGTACCTCTTGCGGCTACTCTTAGGTACAAAAGGAAGGGGACGGTTGGTTTCCTAGTATATCCGATCCAAGGTAAACGCGATAAGACAATACAGTGGGGTAGTAACACTTGGATTTCGGCTTCTATAGGTGCTCAAATTCTTTTCTTCGACAATGACGAAGAATTTAACAATCTGTTTACTTGTTGAAAGAAATTTTAGTGAATTGCAAGGACAAATCAAATACTGATGGGAGTTATATTCAAAAATTTCATTGTGACAGACCGATTTAGTTATATAAGGAATCAGAATATTTGTGCTCGAATGAGGCGCAGTGTAATCACGCGATATTTGAAAAAAACGACGTGCGAGAAGTGACTTCTCGCGCCGACGGGAACAGTGGATGGTGATGAGGGTTGCACGCATAGTTGAAGCAGAATATTAAAACAACGCTAATTTTTAATAGTTTTACATGCGGAAGCCATAAGGATCCTTTCAAAAGGCATGGCGAATTTTCGAAAAAAATAATTGTGTCTAATTAGAAAAAAGGTATCTTCTTTTGGTGTGTACATAACATTTTTTAATAAAAAAAGGTGCTAAAACAAAACCTTTCCCAATCGTTTATAGCAGGGATGAAGTTTAGTTGTAAGAAGATCGCATGTTTCCGGGGTTAGTATCGATTAGATGCTGTAGCCCAAAGCTGCCCCTTTAGAAATTTGCCCGATGTAAATGTGCCCCGGGCCGCCAATTGACCTCAGTGGGTCGGCACAAAAGTGCAGCCACCTCGCAGGCAAAACTCTCTTGGTGAAGTCAGTTTAACGATCTGCACACACGAAAAGATGACAACGAAGATGGCGCAAATCAGCTGTGGCGAATCCGCGCTGTGCAGATCTTTTAACGAGCACCTGAATATTTCAGACGCGAAGTAGACTGAAATTTGATTAGGCACGTCAAGCGAATGGAAATAAGCAAACAGGTCATTACAAGTTTGCCAAAAGACTGCCATCGTGTTCCCTATGGTAGACCATTAGGATTACTAGTTAGAAAAGTAATCTGTGCAATTTGATAAGCTTGCAAAATTAGGGAAGCAAACTCATGTTTTTTTACGAACAGAAAAAAAGTTGCAGTGATGCGTGCGTCGCTAAAAATATTCCTATGAGCAGAGTACAAAGTGCGATTCCATAGGTTTTGGACAAATTTACTACCGTGCCTACCAATACGTCCGATTTTTGTCAAAATAATCAAGATACGTCGCACATTTAACTCACTAAACTTGTTACTGTTACGACAACCGCGCTGTAAACAACATGTCGTCTCGAAATGGGTTAAATATAAATCTAAACTTCGGACGGCGCAATCAGCTGCCTCGAATTGCGGCCATAGAGGCTGAAATTACGAGGGCATTCATAGTAGGTTTATTACACTCTTTGAAGACATCGAATCATCACTCGAATGACACCACTTGGCATTCGAATTTGTGTTTACTTCACGATGGCGTCCAACTTCTACATTTGCCGAGGTCGCACTTGTTTTGCAAATAGCGGTTAGTCTTTAAGAATATTTCGTAAGATTTTGCAACGAAGTGATTCTCTCCTTACTTATAATTTATGTTTAAGGAGAAAAACCACAAATGTTGATAAAATGGACAATGCTATTTTGGTTTCTAAGTTTGACCTGAAATTTACATATTATTTATTTCAGCTTGACTACTTCATTCAATGTACCACCCAATTTGTAGTCTTTTAAAACTAGAAGAAATGAACGCGAGAGCCAAAATTTGAGCCAATGAAAGTTGGCGCCAGATTAGAAGCCATCCGACCAAATAGTAAACACCTCAAAAGCAACTTTGGCGTGCCTGGACATTTACAACGCCAAAAGATTCAGTGTAAAATAAGTAGCCAGCACCAATTCAAGAGTGGATATCCATCAAGGCCAATCATATTGCATCAATCCTAGTGATGGACTACACTAATCACACACAACCCGTAACAGTAGTTTAAAATGTGTGAAGAACGGTGTCAGGAGCCGCTCAGCCCTTGCTAGTTACAACTTTCAAGTGCTGTACGGTATTTATTCTCACTTGAAGGAGACAGTTAGATGTAATCTGCAAATCAAGTGCATTTATAAGAATGCAAGAATTCGAGTGTAATAAACATTTCGGTTAACCACAGACAGAGATATATATATTTTAGGCCAGAAAAAATCAAAGCTGCGACTGCAACTCCATGCCTTAAAAGAAAAAGAAGCATAAAACGTTTAGGCCCTACACTGGCTTCAAGCAATGTATTAAAAACATCTGCTTAGTGGATGTGTGCGTAAGAAATGGCTTACATTCTTTTACTTTCAAGATTCCATTCGCTGCAAGGAAGGAATATTCAGAAGAGGCTTTAAATCCAGAATAACAAAAGCTGCTTTTTACCATGAACATTTGCATGACTGAGTTTTACTTTAGTGGGCGAAAAATGTGAATTTCAGTCCTGGAGTTTGCACAAATGAATCTTTTTCATTTGAAACTCGTCTGTGTGGCTGTGCAAGTAATGACATGCAAACAGTTGATGAAAGTAAGCAATACGCAAGATGATTGGCTGAGAAGGACCTTTTGACATTCACGAAAAACCAATGGCATTGTGAACAGTTAAAATAGGTGCATGTATCCAGTAGTTTGATAACGTTGTTGGTGCCTGTAATACAGTTAAAAATGGAAAAGAGGGAACATTTGTGATTTATCAAAGCTGAATTTGTTGATCTTATAGCTGAAACAAGGATGAAAATTGCAAAAGCTAGCAAAAACAATAATTCTTGTTAGGTATAACGCCAACCATAATAGACCTTCTGTCACATTATGAGAGATGTCAAGGTAAACGATTCAAGAACTAATTAAGTAGTATTTACACTCAATATATGACGCCCAAAATAAAGGTGGCAAAAGTGTTAGTGGATGTCCAATTAGAAGCAAAACGCACTATTCAATTAAACAGTAATGTGTTACCATAGAGAAATATAGCAGACGCATTGGCAGAGATAACAATCAGCAGAACAATAAACTAGAAAGAGGTGAGCAGTATAGATCTTTAAGATTCTTTAGTAATAAAAAAGTCATCGTGGCGTTTGAAAAAAACTTAAGTTAAGAAATTTAGGTTTATAAAGAAATTATCTTTAGAGCAGGAAGTGATTTCCGAAAATACAAGGCATGCCAGGCATTTCCGCTTCCTGTGTTGCTAGGGTTAGTCATGACGCCAAAAATAGGTGGTGTATTTTCAATTACTTCATTCAATCGGATATGCATATACTGAAACATCAAATAAAGTCAAAGGACTCTATGCCTTATTAGATACTTTGCTCCCTAAGTATCTACAAATAAAGGACGAAAACGTCAAACATTCACTCGTCCAAAATATTAGCTACAACGTAGTTCCGAATTTAAATACAAAGCATAATTGTGCTGCATACAGCAACAAAATAATGTAAAAAAATTCAGTCACAATAAATGTTCAAAGGTTACTGCGAAGGAAGTAAGATAAATGGATAGAGAATAAAGTCGGGCTTATCAAACATCTTAACCAGAGAACTATTTAAAATGGCATTAGGATGCTCACCTGATTCGATTAGCATGAAACTGTTTTCAAAGTCGCTGGATTCCGATTCAAAGCCTAAATTGTCATTTTGGTCAAAGGGGTCTGAGAGTGGCAATCCCGATGGTGTAGCGGGAATAAGAGTGTGTGGAGACGACATCATGTGAATTTTCGAGCCATCAGTAGTCACCTTTGCAACCCTTGATATCATGGTAAGGAGCATTGCAAAATTAACTACCCATCATACAGCGGTGATTTCATTGGCAAAGCAGGATACAATTTTGTCAAATCACTCCTTAGGGCACCTTTGGTTTTGTCCGAAACCTTTGAGCCTATTTCGAGAATCGCTTGGTCTCTTGCGGTTAAAGCAATATCGAATTTTTCAGTGTGATATCGTAAAAGACATGAGTGATTAGGTGCAAGCTGAGTGAAAGGTGTTCTTTCCAGTAACTGGCTGCTGACATTACAGCAATTACAGGAAGGTGGTAAGAGAAAGGGGCGCTTTTCTCCAAGAAGGCTGAAAATCAATCAAATATAAAAGCGCCTACCGAGGCATTCGATTCCACTCGGCTGTACAATGAACAATACTTGCAGGACATGACAGCAGGTGCTGGCCACGCATGCGCCTCTCCATTTTTCGCGGACAGCCGATTTCGGAGTTGACACATGGCAGCTCAAACAGAGGACACACATTAGCAACGTGTTCCTCAACCTTGCATGTGTGCATTTGGCTGCCGCATCGCAAAGGGCACTTAACAACAGGACAATCGTTTAATGCACAGTCAAGCAAAATGCAATTACGGCAATGCTTATAGCAAAAAGTGTCTTCTAACAAAACCTTACAAAATGAAATTAAAGCATACAAACAAACCCTTTTTTGCACAGGCAACGGTGGAGGCAAAGGAGCCGGTGGAATAAAACTCATTAAATACGGATTAATAATTGAGTTGATTAAAAATAATTGCTGCGAACCACTCGACGCCAACACTTATTAAAAAGGCACCATTATCGACCCCGTAATTTGGCATAATATATAGGCGATTAAAACACATCATATGCAGAAAAAGCTTTTAATAAAAAAATCACAATTCCTGTGTAGAAAACTGCAATTAGAACTTAAGCTTTTATTTTTATATTTGATACTTCTTAACAAAGTAGTTTTTCACAATTTATACAGATTTAATGTTACATTCCTAACTTCCCTCAAAATGGATGTGCCGATTTTATAACTAAGAAAAAATGCGAGAACGACGGTACAGGAATTTTTAAGAGCTGCACTTGTACAATCTAATCAATGCAATATATTTATTATTTCTTAGTCATTTGGTGGAAATCCTGTAAGCATAGATTATTTTATTCATGGGATTTTCTTTGTAACATGTTTCGAAAATCAACTTTGACGCTAACTATTCTTTTGCAGGAAAACAAATATATGCAAAAGATGTTTATAGTCGACCATTTTGATCATAGTTATTGCGCTAATGTATGCAGATCTGAATTTTAGATCTTTGCGTCAAGTAAAATTATTCAATGAGAGATTTATTTCAAAATTAAATGCAGATTTGTTGAACAAAATCACTAAGTAAATGCAAAAAAGACCACAAAAACACATGTACTTGAACATAATTAATATACTATCGTGCAGTGGCTTGGTTTGCGCTACCTTACAACCCTACGACAACTTTTCACCCCATGCCTGCCAACCGTGTGTCTTAGTGCGTGGATGAGTGAACGTATGACTAGCGCGTGAGTCATTGACATATTCATGTCAGTAAACAGTGTCCACTCAGGTGTGATTGCTGCTAATTGGCTATAGTCCCACTTGAAAGACATCTGCAAGCTTCCGCCTGAGCATTTTGTATTTGATTTCGTGGTTTTAACAAATTGACACATAACTCGATTCGAACCTATATTTGACAGTCGGCATCAAGATTCCAAAATGTTGAACATCTTCTAAAGTTATTTTTACACTTTCTGGTTTGATATCGCTGTTGTGCGGGCATCGTTGATAAAGAAACAAGGAGAAACAATTTTTCCCGACCACAAGATAATTGAACCTCGGAGATGGCCCAATAAATGAGGCAAATTCCTTAAACAAAAACAAACATATAAATAATTTCTTTATTATTACGCAAACTGTCAAAAACTAAATTCACACATTATAGTTTCTTCCACAAAAACCAAATCAGTCATTCGGAATTAATTTTTGCCATATTGCTTCGTCAATTCAGGCTGAAAAATTGTAGCGCTACATAATGCTACATATTGTCTCCTAATCAGTTCACCAGAAAAATTTATGCATTACTAACAAATATTGTGTTAGCCAGTTTTCAACCTCGATATTTCATTATTTACGTTTTCGTCTACGAAAAACAGCAAAGTTACACATTCAAGAAATCTTTTGGTAAATAAATAAATAAAATGGAATTAGACTAGATTTTAAGGATTTTCGTCACCTGAAAACACCAGAAGAGTACCAAAGAACATTTTCTAATAGTAAGTCTTGTTATCAGAAGAAACGTTAGTTTTGGTTACTTGGAATCATTTAAAAGTTTCTTTTTGAAATTATTGGCCTGACTAAGCACTTTCAGTAAACTATTTAAACCATTATCTTTCTGCTTACCGAGTAGAAACACAAGCATGTGTGATTATGGTTGATCTTTGCACTTTGATTCTTGCAAAATATTTTGCCGCATCATCAATCACAATAATTGGTTTTTATTAACTAATTTAAATCAAACTATGTGCAGTCTACGATAATCTTGCCTCTAAACATTAGCTAGGTAAATATGCATCTAAGTCGACTCGAAAAGTTAAGTTTATTAAAGAATTTCAAGCGATGCAATCTTGAAATAAGTAACTTATTATGTAGGTTTTTGTGCATAAACATTGCTTTGTAGTCTCAATTTGGATATTCTGAGTGAATCAACTAAAACTACACAGTTGAGCATGTAAATAAACACTTTGACAGCCTGTTTTTTTAAAAATTTTAAATCGCTGTTAATGAAATTTTGGTGGGAAAAGAATTCCAGTGCTATGGGGCTTATTCGCTTTCGGTGATTGCCTGTGCAAAATAAGTGTTGCAACATCGGCACTAACCCCTAGACTTATCAAAAAGTTTTCCTTCGCGGCACCCGACACTCTTTGTGAAGGAATTCCTGTCAAAAATTTTCCAAAATCATTCAAAATAATCGTAGAATTCTGTGCCAATGATACACCAAATGAACCTGTCATTGTGGAAACTACAAAAGTCTACGAGAGTAGGTTAATTTCTTGATCAACATGCGGGTATGTGAGTGACAATTTACGGTACGTGCGACCTTTCCACGAGAAAGAATAAAACGAAGCCACAAGTTCGATGCAACCAAACACTGATCCTATTTGCTCTCTAAAAATGGCTTCATCGCACACAAAACATGGTTTTGGTTTTAC